GAATACAGCGTCTGTCTTGCGTCAATATTACACCACACTCGAAAACACAACAAGCAAAAGAACACACTCAAGGCGGCTTCGCCAACGCTTGATTTACCACAAGGGCCCCGGCGCGCAAATCGCGGTGTCACCCACCAGGGACCCACCGCTACAGACAATCGTTCGCACTAACCACCAAAAGAGAGCCGTTTATCTCTTGTGCACCGCCACTAGGCTTGCCGCCAGGCATCACCACGGGTGCTAGCGTTCTAACCATGATGAAGATGGTGGTTGATAATAAACGCTTGCAAGCACCACGCCACCTACTGATCCGTAATTGCTACCCGAAATGCGGCTTCTGTGCGAGACATGTGGGCCACGAGGCACAAACAACTTAACATGGGGTGTCAGCAGCCCTCGCAACGTGTAGAAATGAGCTTAACAGCGCATGTGCGAAACAAATTTTCGCGCTTACTGAAGCGATAAAAACAGAGCGGGTGCATTTAAAAAAAAAACCTTAACCTAAAGATATGTAGGACTTTAATTGAAGTGTGTAGTATGGCACTTGTTGCACACTTCTTTGTTGCCTACTTTCAGCGCGTGTAAGTTTCTACACTGAACTGTATTACACTGAACTGTAAATTTTTTTAGGTTTACATTACTATTATTATTATTATCATCATTATCGATTTGAAGTGTATAGGCTGCACATGCTTTGTTTTTAGCGCTTCAGTTTGTGCAAAAATTTATTTCGTGGATGCACTGTTAAGCTCATTTCTCTTCTGCTGTGATTATTATATCGTTAGGTGTGGAAAATGTGCTATGAGATGAGAAGTCTTCATTTACGGTTATTTCATATCTGTGTCGCGCGGGAGGACATGGATATATAAAGCATTGTTTCTGAAATGAATTTAGTTGTGAGCGTCGTGTCCATCTTGTTCCCTTTGTACCTGTCAGATGTTCAGCACAAGGATCGAAGTAGGTGCTCAGTACAACCCTGCCCATGAGTTCTGACTGACCTATACTGGACATGTAAAGTTTTCCGATACTGCTAAATTCTGCTGTTTCAAATTATTAAGCTCAATAGAATAGCTTGTAGTTGTTGTAGACCAAGCTACATTGAGCAGTACATGGGTGTGCTTGAATCATGCTACGGTTAGATTGTTGTGCGAAGAAATTATACAATTTTTTTATTGTATACTTCTATGAAGGTTCTTGCAGCATGAATAATTTAAAATGGTGTACGACCATAAAATCAATGGGCTTTATCAACAATAATCTTCTCTGCAGGAGGGATTTTACCGAGAAAGCATGGTGTCTCAGCATTTCGGTTCTGCTTTTGAATCGCAGCAACACCTTGTGTTTGAACACTTGTTGAATCAAATATGAGTTACTGCAAGTTTCATGAAGCACAAATTAGATTTCAGGTATAGATGACTGTATTTTAGTAACCATTCAAGAAATAAGATTGTCATCATACTCTTCATAAAACACAACTGCAGGCACTTTACACTGTGAAGCCCTGTGTTCTGAAAGTACGCATGTCATCATAACAGTTTTTCTGGGTAGTAAACAGCATGCATAGAAATTTTATACGGACTGTGTTTCCAGTACTTCAACTGGAGCATCACTGGAGAAACTCTGATTGATTCACACATATTCCGTGAGAACTTTAGACGGTCGGAGGCCACGGCTCCCGAAGAAAATTGTCGCATTCCGCATGAAAATGATGGAGTAGTAAGATATTTTCATCTTTTAGGGTATTCCAAGTGATGATGCATGTGTGTGTGTGTGTGCAATATCAATTTTGATCAACATATGGTGTAACTTTATTTATTTATTTGTTTATTTTATTTATTTATCGATGCTGCAGGCCAATATGCTGGACCATGCAGGAGGGGTAAATACAATAATACAATGACAAGGCATTCACAAAAAGACTAACAATGCAAGAAGAAAAACGTACAGTGCAAGATGCATGGGATTCACGACACAATCGCAAGAAATGTTTAAACACTAAATATTAAGAGAAGTGGTTTTCCTATTCTTTTGTAAAGGTTTCCGATTGTATGACGTGAACAGGAAAAGACATCCATTCTTTTATGGTGCGCAGAAAAAAAATGTTCATATGAGATTTGGTATTGGCGAATATAGGCGTGAAAGAAAAGCTGTGTCTGTGTTTAGTCGACCTTGTGTTATACAACCGCTGCATATTCAAGTTTTGAGCGCACAATTGCTTTGTATCCCAAAAGCTTTGTACTCGCCGGAGCTTTGCTAAGCTTTCGTTTCAAACGCCACAATTTGCGCAATGCTGAAGAGCATGTAAGAGATATATGATCTGACGAAGTAAGTTTGTCATTAAACGTGACGTCTAAGTATTTATAGTCTTCAACCTCGGTTATTATGGTGTCGTTCAGAATGTAAGAAAATATGCTAGGTTCTTTTTTTCTTGTTACTCGCATCAAAACTGTTTTTTGTACATTTATTTCCATTCCCCAAAGTCTACACCACTCTGAAATAGCTGTGACTGATTGCTGCAAGCTTTGGTGATCATTCTGCGAGGTAATTTCTTTAAATATGACACAGTCATCCGTAAATAAATATACAGGCACATCACTAGGGAGTTTTTTCGAGATATCATTTATATGGATCAGGAATAGGAGTGGTCCCAGTACGCTGCCTAGCGGCACGCCCGAGATTACATGGCGCACAACTTGTCAGGCTTAGAAACTAATATTTGTGCTAGAAAACGTTTTCTTAGTAACTGCTCCAAAATGTGGTGATGCGTTTCAAAAGCAAAGTTTTAGCTGCACTGAAGTGGCTTTGGACGATTGGAATCACTAAGGCACGCGGTCCGGTTTGTGTGTGACTGTTTCTCACATGAAATTGTGAGAAGATATTTCTAGGCACGGACAAGCAAAAAGTGTGAATTTACCAAATTTCTGCACTGGTATTAAGATGCCTTGAAATAGATTCGAAACATGGTGGGTTAATCAGAAACTAAAGAATTGTTTAGAATAACTAAATGTTTAAATTATTGGGAGTGTTTTTCGGCTTTGGTTGTCTGCAGCACTGTCGCAAGCTGCGGCTTCATTGACCAATCTAGCTGCATATTTGACAGTGCTCTACCAACAACGTTGGGATGAGAATACAAATCGGTGTCTTTTTTCTCTGAGCGTGTGATTGTCTCGTTGTTGAAAGAGCTTTCCTTGCGTCTCAAAAACTGCTTTTAGGGAACAGCCTGGCAGTCTGAGGTTGAAAGGAAGCTGTGAGACGTTTTTGGTATTATATGGTGTCATTGATAAACTTAGTAGCAGTAACTTGAAAACACTTTAGTTACTTTACCGTTTGCTTCAGGGGAACACCATAAGCAGAAGCAAAAAGGATTCCCTTACTGCTTTCTTCAGTGCTAAGATGCATATAGCCGACATACCTTTTTGCACCATCATTAGTGAGCGTGGAACTTGGCAATATCAGGTTAGCATTTTTTTGCTCAAAGCCCTAAAACTTCTTGTAGTTCATGACCCTTTCTTGACAAAAAATTCTGATGATGTATTTGGGTTTTTCTGAGGAAACCATCAAATAGGCAACCTTTTTTCCGTAGATGTGTCATTGATAAATTTAGTAGCAGTAACTTGAAAACACTTTAGTCACTTTACCGTTTGTTCAGGGGAACACAGTTGAACACCACTGTATAATTTTGAAAGGATAGCCAAAGTGGGTCTAGAAAAGAAAGGTTTTATGAGAGACAGATTGCTGGTGGAGATCTGTTGTTGCTTACTGTGCATTTTTGTACAATGGTAGGCAATTTAAAAAGTGAAGTCTTATTGGTGGATCCTTGGTTACTTGTTATGAAGACGCAATTATGAGCATAAGCTGAATCTGAATGGCCTGTTGGGGTTTGTCATGCCAGTCTTGCGAGATTCTGCAGCGTCCGAAACAAGATGTTGTGAGCTCTATGAATTATTCGCAAGCATGCCTTTGTCTTAAAAGGTACCTGCAATACTTTTTGAGCTTGGTTGGAGTTGAGGCTCCTAAGAACATGCGAGTCAAATACTATAGTGCTGCACGCGGCCTGGAATCCACTATAAATTCCCAATGTCAGTAAGCGATTGAAAATTGCATTCTCTCGACAAATGATGTCACAAGTTGAAAAGATCACTCGTCACAGCCATTGTATCAGTCATTGGCTGATTTGAGCACGGCACGCTCAGTCATTACAGGGGCCGTGACTTGTTTACGTGTGCACATGCAATCGCACTGAAAAGCCGCACATTCACAGAAAAAAAAAGAAAAAAGTGCTCAAGGTCACAATGCCTGGGTGATGTATTTTCTTTTCCAGTGCCATCCCTCCCTGCTTAGTCTCCTGCGCCTTCGTCGAGACGAGAGAATGTAATTGCAGCTTGGAACAAATCTTTGTAACTCTGCTATTACTGGATGGATTCCGCAGATTTTCGCGACGGTGAATCTGTGAGGCTCCTTTAGTGAATCCATTCTATGGCTACCTGAAAAAGTTAGTGATGCTACCGCTGCTCGAATCGTGCCAATTCCCCTGGCTGCTACACGCTGCTACATTTCCTCAAAATTTGGAGAGTGTGCAGCCAACCTGTGCCAAAAGGTGTGCTGCGACTTTCAGAAACGAGACTACTTGAGGTTCTCCCATTTAAAATAGCTTTGCGGTGCACCTTTTGCCACTTTTGCTGCTCCAAGAGCTGCTCCAAAGCACCCTAAGCCAGTAGCATCACTGCTAAGTGCTGGAGAGTCACTGGTGACTGGTAACCTCTGCCTTGGAAGCTGTGCTTGTCACTGCTGCTAGGTTCTTCATTGACTGATGCTGTGCACACGAAGACAAGTACTGGACAGGTGCTGTTCTTTCTTGCCACGCTGCACCAACCCAAGATAGACACATGCCAGCTAACTCTATTTTCCATTCTTAGCCAGAATCTGTTGTTTTTGGTGGGCAAGTTTGCCGTCTTGTAAGGTTCAAACTCCCCGGTGTGTTCACAATGGTCGTTGTGCAGCTGCCCGACAAGACAATCCCGAGCCTGGTGAAGTACTACTACTCGTGGAAGAAGACACGCACGCGCACCAGCCTGATGGACCGGCAAGCGCGCCGGCTGGCCGGATCTCGCGAGGATGGCAGGTGGGAGACGATGCACCCGTGCCGCCCCTCCTCTGCCTGCCTTCTGCGCTCCTGCGTCGTCGTTGCTGCCCCATCCCAACAGTTTGTGGCTCCTCCGGCTGCTGCCTTCCTTTTTCTTTTTTTTTGTGGTGGTGATGCATTGCATGCCTTTCAGTCTGTCCTCCTCGCTTCTGTGCGCCCGTCCCCGACATTTCTCTCTTCTTATTTTTTCCTTTGGGTGAGATGCTGTCCTCTTGTACCACGTTGTCTGCTTGTTCTAACCTCGAGCTGTCTGTCACCATTGGCGTTACTGTTTAGTTATGCAGTGCTCAAACCCATAGGCATAATATTTGTTGTGCAGATTTATCTGCTGCTTGGCAGAAGTACTCCAGTATTGTTCACTGCAAAGGAACATACTCTAGTCATCGGCAGTAGTGGTTCCTGAATTTGGTGAAAGCACCCAGTTTAGAATAAACATGGGTGCTTTCACCAAATTCAAACTGCTATAGCGCATTACTATAAAAAATAAATAGCCGAGCATACTGATGCAAGGGGACAGAGCGCTCTGTCCTCACCTGTTGGTCTGCTTGGCCATTTATTCTTTACCGTAATGCGCTATACCAGTTTAAGTGCAACAAACTGACTCTCCTGAATTTCAACACTTGTGGGTCCGCCAAAGCCATTTCATGGTTCTGTGAATGCGCACTGTGTGAATAGCAGGGGCATTCTGCGTGAAACTTCTTCACGCACAGAATGACTTGCCTGCCTCTCTTGTTGCCAAAAGTTGGACTGTGGGCTATTGAAGTGGACATTGATAATGGACATGACGTGTGTAAATTTATAGCACATGAATGTCCACATGAGGTAGCTTCAATACGAGCTCATTTACAAACATACAGCATCCTAAACGTCTTTCCTTTATGTGTACATTCGTGGTTGGTGTTTGTTTTGCTCATCCCCAACGTCTGTTTCGTAATTAAAGCAAGCACTTAGATACTCATCGCAGGCACTGCTTTGTGCACCACACATGGGCTGCATACACAAGCGCAGTGGTGCTTTATAACGAAGGCTTTACTAGGCACAACTGGCATGTAACATCCCCTCTACAGAAAAAAAAAAAACGAAGGCTTTTGTATGGCGAGTACTTTGTTTGTGTAAAGCAAAGGGCTCAAAGTGCCTAAGCAGTGAGCATGTGGTTAGTACACGCCCTGCAGAGAACCAGAGTAAAGTCCTTGATTCGGCTATATTATTAAGAGTTCTTCGTCAAGTGCCATGGTCCTTACGTATACAACTGCCAACCGATATTCCGGACCTGGCGGGGATCGCAATGCAGTCCAAAAAAACGGTCAAGTCATGAAACTGAAGTTTATTTGGATCATGAAAGCCTAAAAAAAAAAATCCTCTATAATGCTTTGCTTCATGCTGTTCTTGGGAATGGGCTGAATTGGTTCTCTTTGGTCTACGGTAGCATCTGTGGCAAACATGCTGGCAATCGCTGCCGCCGCCCAGCGGGCGGTAAAGTTGGTGGCTCCATGGAACGAAGCAAACAAAACTTTATGTATCGGCTGTCCGTGCTGGGTGACAGTGGCCACTAGGACACTCTATCGTTCTTTGGTGCGCTGCTACCTGCTTTGTTCTATTCACCAGTCGCACCAAGCACGAGCACAAAAAAGCGCAAGGGTGCACCGTCACTAATCAGATGACATGCGAGCGACCATGAAATATGCGGAGGTGTATGTATGCGGAGAGTATGCCAGTTGCGAAAAGATGCATGCAACATCCCACCTGTTTGGTAAGATTTAACTACACAGTCTGGGCTTCTTTTTTCCTGCACCGACATTACTCAGTAGGTGAGCCTCCAGCATGTCGCGACCATCAAAGCACTACCGTTGCAGCCGCGATCGAACCCGCGTGTTCCAGGTCAGTCACCGAGCGCCGTGACCATGGAGTGCTGTTAAGCAGTTGTGAACAGTAGCGTGTATGTGACGTGCACGACAGCTCAAACACAATTGGCAAACCACAAACACCACCACGTGCGCAATGACGACCAGAAGAACTAATGCCCAGAAAGTCAAAACCACCTACTGGTTAATAAAGATGACGATAAGGCTGACTGAAAAAGAAATGTCTTGCCGTTTTGCTAGCCAAGGAAGATCAGACATGGCTTCAGAAACTAAAAGAATGTGCGTGCTTCTGATCTTGGAGGCCACACAATTAGCCACTGCAAGCAAAACTCTATCGAGCATATAAAAAATCCAATATGGCGGCTTTCAAAATCAAGTAGCATAGCTTAATAAAAAAAACGATTTAGTCCGGAAAATCAAACTTTGGAGCAAAAATTCGTCGAGCAAATATGTCGGTGCAGTGGGAACCTTGATGGAGCATTTGTGAAGTTGGACGTATCCAACAAGTTTCTTGGTGACTGTTGAGGTGATTGCTGCATTGCAAAAAAGCATACATGCAGGTGTGGCCACAGTGTGGTCTCGGTTAGGCAGTTCGAGAGGCGCCACTCTCTATTTTTTTGGCCGTGTTTGCATTGAAGAACCTTCACAGAAGTCTGGAGAGATACAGTGCTGGGGTTCTGTGGCACTTTGTTAAAGGTGCTCTTGGAGGTCAGCCAGGACCCCTGTACCCTTGTTTCATGCTTCATCTGCAACAGGCTTCTTGCACTCGATGCAACGAAAAATAGTTCATTGTTCTGGCCACCTGTGAGAAAATTATTAAGGCGAGAAGTAGTTTGAGATATTTCATGCCTTACAAAAAAAGCAGTGTTAAACATTTGTCGGTACGCAGCTGGATAACTTTGTTTCCAGGTGACGTGACGCATGGGCTGTCTGTGCTGGGTGACAGTGGCCACTAGGACTTTTTATCTAGTGGTTCCTCGACACCACAGAGTCGTTCTTTTGTGCGGTATCCGCTTTGTTCTGTTCGCCAGTCGCACCAAGAACGAGCACAAAGAAGCGCAAGGGTGCACCGTCACTAATCGGATGACACGGGAATGACCATGAAACACGCGGAGGTGTATGTTTCGCTGGCCGAACTTCTTGCGTAGTGTCCACGGCATTGCACCTCATGTGTGTAAAACGTAGTGTAGTAGAGTCATTGAGATGGCGTGGCTTGCCTGCTCTGTGCTGTCCAATTCCGGATGGAGTGTAAGCATGCGTTGTTCAAGATCCAATAAACTTTCAGCGTCTCAGTTTGTCATATTATGGAGGGACAAGTGTGATAACTACGTCGCCTAGTTGGTATTAAACGTGCACTGGTCTCCGATGATGGCACGGGAATGACGAGGGGTTCAACAAGTTTGGTGAAATAGGGGATAAAGGTTTTGAAAAAATATATATACAACAGTTTCCCGAAAAAGTGAAGCATTGAATGTGTTGGCAACAAATCATGATGGTATACAAAGTGAGGCTAGCAGCAGCTGCTTTTTTTTTTTTTTTGATCTGGCCCAACTCTACAAAGCAAAGAAGCAATTGTCATGCGGAATGAAGTGGTGAGGCATGTGACACATTTGTAGGTGGCTCTTGTTCCACAGTTGTTGCTCAAGCTTTGCTTCGCCCTAGATGAACTCTACTGGGGAGCTCTTGGAAGCCAACAGTTACTTAGGCTAGCCAGATATGATTGTGCGTGAAGCCATGTTTGAGTGAGTCCATGCTTCTTGAGCTTACTTGTACAGCATTCCTGCTTTGGATGCGTCAATCTGCGAGAGGTTGCTTAGAAAAGCATGTTGATCGAGTTGCTTTTATAGTGAGCACTGCCAGGCACGTCTTAGGCTCGCCCTGGAAATAAAGAAAAGATTTAGCACACAACGAAGACACATTTCTAGAGTGTTTGTTTTATTATCATCATTCACAAACTACGCCCTCTAATGTCCTTTAAGAGGGCTCCTAAGATGTTGGAACATGGTGCTGTTGGTGTCTTTGCGTTGTTTTCAGGATTGTGTGGGTTCTCTTGCCGTAGACAAACCATGGCTTTGTCTGTCACCATGTTTGTTAGTGGCGTCCATCGCAGTGCTTTGTTCGCACCCTCGGCGTATTTGTCTTGTGTTCATTTGAAACAGTTGAGCTGCATTCACACAATGTACATAATTTCAAATTGGCCACAGGATGTATGACTTGCATCAGGTCTCCCTGCAGCTAGCATGGCAGCAGAGAGAAAGAAAAAGAAAAATAGCAGAACTCATTACCTATCCGTACTCCCCTGCATGAACCCAGTGCAAATTCATTGGAATGCTTATCTTGAAATCCTTTTACTTTCATATTCTGTTTTGGTTTTCCTGATAGTATGGGTTATTTGACCTTGGCTAGCAAGCTGCAGCCACAAAAATTTTGTCTCTTCGCAAGGGTTGGGACATCCAACAATGTTGATAGGGAAGGGCTGAGTTTGAATAAAATGCCATCTAATGCTGCAGCTTGAAAGTAGGCTGTTCTCGTGGGTCATATAAGCTGCGCCAGCTTTGAAGATGGTTTTTCTTGTGAGGAAAGAAAACCATATTGCCAAGTTCCATTTCTCAAGTTTTGTTATCACCCCAAAACACTACACAATTCTCAGCGCAAACCGCGCCTGTAGTTTTCGAGAAGCTTCCGGGCTTTAGTAGATGATTTCGATAAGATCACGCCCACTCTGCGAACAGTACAGATTATTCTGTAACCTACGCCACCGCCAGCGATAACGCTAGAACATTCGATGGCAAGAGTATAAATGCCGACACACTCCGCCGCTTGTCAGTAATTGATCGACGGCTGACACTCCGTTCATTGCTATCTGTGCAACACTGCTATTGTAATCGGACTTTCCGTTTACCGGGCACAGGTTCGCCCAAATAATCAGTTAAATCCCAACACAAAGTATCCTGTCTTCGGCCACGTCGCGACCCCGTGACAATATCAATTTCTATCTCCAGGATGATTAAAATGCTTACTCCAATTCTTAAATATAGTTTCTGTGTTGCAGTTTATGTTTCAGCACTTGCTGAAAAAGAACTTCTCAAGAGCAGTCACATCCTGGTAACTTGGCCA